TGTGTTCCATAACTCTCCTACTTCTGTAAATATACAAATAGAAGCTTGAACTTTATACACTAAATCAATAGCTTCAACTGCCCGAGTGCCCCATCCTTCGACATTATAGCATAGAATCTTTATATATTCTTTTTGGTTCCGTAAGGAGGCTATTCCAATCTTTTCCCATTCTTCTAAGACTATATTCAAGGTTCTACCTGTGTACCATTCACCTAACAGAGATAGTACTAATTTCTGATCTTTAGTTGGAAAATTCCAAGTTTTCAGCCGGTGCATAGCTTCATCTCTAGGGTTAAATAAATAATTCACTGAAGCAGGAAAAAAAGCTTTGGCGTGTACATTAAGATTTGATGATCTACTTAGCATTATGTGTTGATTTGTATACTGACGAAGGCTGTTGATCGGTTTGAGCAGTGTTATTATTATTATACGTAGTTGGAATCAGCTGAACCTGGTGATTTAATTGGAAGCCATTTATTAATCTTGAGGACGCGACCTGAAAGCGATTGTAGTATTCTTTCGCCACAGGTACCAGCGAAAATCTTTCAATTTTGCCAGTAGTTAACGATGCTGGTATGAAATATTGAATAAAATCTTTCATAATGTTGATGGTATCCGCTAGGACTGCTTGATGTAGCTGAGTGTCGAGATTAACGATTTTTATGTTTGATGATAGTAAATCGACTTTATTTTCTAGTCGTTGGTTACTATCGATAAGCTTTGTCAGATTATCATTAATAGATTCAATTGTTTTTTCTGTATCTGATGTACGTAAAAAATTCGACTCGACCGTTGTACGAGATTGAGCAATATTCCATTTTTTATTAGAATGATTATCACTTGCTGCTAATGGTGGAAAATCTTGTTCACGAAGTTCGAATGTAGGAGATTTTTCTTGCATTGAAAATCGCTGTAATAATCCTTTTTGAATCGCATCTTCAACACCCTTTTTTAATTCGTCTTTATATTCTTTCATAACTTGACATTGACTATCTAATGAATGATGATTTCCATCACATTGAGCACATTTCGGTTCATTTTTACACATATGCAGAGTATCCACACTCAAATTTTCAAGACAAATTCGACATTTGTTTACTGAGTTGCATTTATTTCTTAAATGACCTATACACCAACATTTCGTGCAGTAAGTTAGACGGTTTCCCGGATAAAACTTGGTGATCGATAACCACGAATGACCTATTGCAATTCGACCCAGTTGCAGCACAGCATTATATTCACTATAATCTTTAACATCGAATCGATAATCATCTGTTCTTCTTTGGTAGGAATAATGAATACGTTTAATTCGATCTGCAGAGGCAATTGTTCTCTGTATTTCATTTGAGACAAAATTTTCATCTAGTTCCCTAGGAACATATCGAACTACAAGAGCAAATGAATCGGGTATATATTTAGGTTTCATGACGACAATATCAATCCCATTTATCTTTGTAGGCCATTTATCCGAACCAACGAGAGCAGCATAATCTTCTTTATTATTAACACCTAACTTGAGCTTTTTCCCTGCCCATCCTACTAATGTAAACTTATTAATTAAAACACCCTTCGATTGTAGTTCTTTAAGTATAAGATCACTTGCATGAAGAGCTGTTGGAATACTATGACGATCAGCATCCGAACTGAATTCAATAAAAAAACATGGTAGATTAGAAGATTTGTGCATTGTTGTCGATACCTTTTCGAGGATATTTACGACGACCTCTTCCATTATTGATTGAACCTCCACTATCATCTAGAGGATGTCCACGCTTTGGAGTTGAATTCACTGGTTGCACTATTTGCTGTTGCTGATTTGACTTGGAATAATTTGTCTGCAGATACTTGTGTACACTTAAAGCTGCTTCCGGACATTCCGATAAAAATCTTGATATAAATTCAACTTGAACATTTGATATAGAACCTTGTTCCAGTATCTCATACTCGTTTCCGGAAAGATGATCATTATTAGGACCATTATTAATCACCTCTGCCATCATTCCTCTCTTATCGACTTAGAGAGGCAGATGCACAAGGAATGTAACGATATCAAAAAGAAGAAAAATGCGACTATACTTCACGAAGCAAAAGGAGGAGAGATATATGTGTATTCCATCTATATCTCCTTTCATTCTGCTGCCATGTGTCGACGTGTATATGTTCTCTTTTCTCTTTGTATAGATCACATATATTTTCTCTTTTATTCTCTTGTCATTTTTTTCTTGTAGTATCTTCTAGTAAATTCTTTCCTTTTCACGCCCCTCTATATATATTCAGCGCTTGAAATGAATGAGAGATACATTAGAAAAATTGTCTATAGTACAATTATTCCGTCTCAACTACGTAGGTGAAGTTAGCACCATATTCGAGTAAATCCTTCCCATATTCGCTCAGGAAAGTGTTCCAAGTGTTCCAATCAGTGTTCCAAGTAGAACTCAACGAGCTCTATCTAATGGTAACTTTGGATTTTCCATAACCCAAACCAATCGTGAGAAAAATCCAAAATACTGCTCTTTTTCTATAGGAAAAACCAAATCTACTTACTAAAACCTGTCCATATTCGTCCAGGAACGTGTTCCAAGTGTTCCAGCCGAGTTCCAAGTACAACTCGACGAGCTCTATCTAATGGTAACCTTGGATTTTCCATAGCCCAAACCAATCGTGAGAAAAATCCAAAATACTGCCGTTTTTCTATGGGAAAAGGCAAACCTGCTTACTAAAACCTTCCCATATTCGTCCAGGAATGTGTTCCAAGTGTTCCAACCCGGTTCCGAGTACAACTTGATGAGCTCTATCTAATGGTAACCTTGGATTTTCCATAGCCCAAACCAATCGTGAGAAAAATCCAAAATACTGCCATTTTTCTGTGGGAAAAGGCAAACCTACTTACTAAAATCTTCCCATATTCGTCCAGGACTGTGTTCTAACCCGGTTCCAAGTACAACTCGACGAGCTCTATCTAATGGTAACCTTGGATCAGCCATAATCCAAACCATTCGCGAGAAAATCCCAAAATAGTACCTTTCCACTATGTGTATGGTCACTAAAACCTTCCCATACTCGTCCAGGAATGTGTTCGAAGTGTTCCACACCGGTTCCAAGTACAACTTGACGAGCTCTATCGATTGATATCCTTGGATCAATCAAAACACAAGCAGAATTGCCAATGCTGTCTTTTATATGTCGATAGTATCTCGTTAACAGCATATTGTTCTTAATCTATTCAATTCTAAACAGTTTGAGATTTCCGGTGATAATATTTCCGTCCTCAGTCAGCAACAATGACTGTTTTCTGAATATTCTATGTAGTAATGCTTTATAAAATGTCAGAAACTCAGTCAATAGCCTGGTTTTCACACTAAAAAAGCAACAACTTTGGTAGCACAATTTTCGTAAGCAGTTTTCTCCTTTTATAAATGTAAGTGCTGATGAGACTCGTGTCGCATATACCTTTTATATAAAGTGTGTCGAAGGACTTGGTCTTGACAGAAAAAAATCAAATTTTACCAATTGGTGGAGTTCGTGGATTCATACTTAAAAAATGAAGTAAACAGCTTAAACTGATTTACACGACAAATGAAAAACGCAACTAGTTTCGATAGTTCTACGTCTTACGGTGGTAAACCATTATTTCATGATTTCTGGAGAAAGCGAATGGATCGTGAACAATCCGTATACACTAACTGATAGAACTCATCCAGTTGTACTTGGAACCGAGCTGCAACACTTGAACACCTTCCTCGCGGAATATGGGAAGGTTTTACTGACCATATACATAGTGAAATCTGGTATTTTGGGATTTTCTCACCAATGGTTGGCTTACGATTCATCCAAGATTACCATTAGATAGAGCTCGTCGAGTTGTACTTGTAACCTGGCTGGAACACTTGGAACACGTTCCTGGACGAATATGGACAGGTTTTAGTAACCATGTACATAGTGAAATCTGGTATTTTGGGATTTTCTCACCAATGGTTTGGATTACGATTGATTCAAAGACACCATTAGATAGAGCTAGTCGAGTTGTACTTCGAACTCGGCTGGAACACTTGGAACACGTTGCTGGACGAATATGGACAGGTTTTAGTAACCATATACATAGTGAAAATCTGGTATTTTGAGATTTTCTCACTAATGGTTTGGATTACGATTGATTCAAAGACACCATTAGATAGAGCTCTTCGAGCTGTACTTGGAACTCCGCTGGAACACTTGGAACACGTTCCTGGACGAATATGGGTAGGTTTTAGTAAGTAGGTTTGATTTTTCCTATAGAAAAAGAGCAGTATTTTGGATTTTTCTCACGAATGGTTTGGGTTATGGAAAATCCAAAGTTACCATTAGATAGAGCTGGTTGAGTTGTACTTGGAACTCGGCTGGAACACTTAAAACACGCTCCTGGACGAATATGGGCAGCTTTTAGTGACCATATACATAGGGAAAATCCGGTATTTTGAGATTTTCTCACCAATGGCTTGGATTACGATTCATCCAAGGACACCATTAGATAGAGCTCGTCGAGTTGTACTTGGAACCCGGCTGGAACACTTGGAACAGGTTCCTGGACGAATATGGGCAGGTTTTAGTAAGTAGATTTGGTTTTTCCTATAGAAGAAGAGCAGTATTTTGGATTTTTCTCACGATTGGTTTGGGTTATGGAAAATCCAAAGTTACCATTAGATAGAGCTCGTTGAGTTCTACTTGGAACACTGATTGGAACACTTGGAACACTTTCCTGAGCGAATATGGGAAGGATTTACTCGAATATGGTGGTAACTTCACCTACGGGTCTCAACTATTCTTTTTTTTCAAACGCACATCATGAGTGCATTCAAAAATAAACCAAGCACTGAAGTGAATGAAATTCATACGAATTTCGAGTC